ATTTTCATTCGCAATTATGACCAATTTTTACTTCTGATAATCTCACATTTGCATATAAACTTACTATACAGTACTTGAATATTCTTTTAACGGTCATTTCTTCAATATGATAAATGAAAAAAATGAATAAAAACATTGTAGATTATCAAAACTGGAAACATTTATTCCAGTTTAATTTTTTTGTTGGTGTTTTTAATAAATTTTTGTTAAAAAAAATTCATGAGACCAACTAAGATGCAAGGGTAACATACTTATTTTACTTGGTTTTAAGGATTAAAGATTAAATCTAAGAACAATCTGGATATAATAACGGTGCAGCATATGTGCATAGAAAGAGAGCTTTGTGACTTAAAAACGTTTGTCCACAGACCTCATCTTTTATCATTACTGTAAATGGTTCGCTTTCATGAAAAATATCTCTTTACTGAACTTCAGAGGACTGGCAAAATTATACATCGTTATATGATTGAAGTTAAAAGTTTAAGGCCGAATGAAAGTTTGGAAACGAGATCTTCTATTCGGGTAAATCTGGAATATTAACCTCATGTGTTTGGTTGCCACCATGTAGCTGTGGGGATTCTGTTGTTAAGGTGTGCAGGGTTATTTCGTGCAGTAACCAGTCACTGGCCGACATCTAACACACAGATGCGCTATTAATAGCAGCTGGTCTGCTTTCGTCACTCCTTGGCGGTGCAGTGGGGAGGGTGGGCAGAGTAAAAAGGATGCAGAGGAAGGAAGAGGCGGTGTAGATACAGATTTGCCATGGGACCGTAGAGCTGAGAAAGGAAAAAAAGCTGCAGAGGTGAGCAATGATGCTTATCCCAGAAGTTGCTCTTAACGTCACAGCATGACGTCGGCGCAGCGCAAGACCTGTTGTACATCTGCTGGCACACCTTTCAACCACAATCGCGGGCTCAGGGCGCAGGCAATTTGTGTGCATTTACTCTGTCAGATTGAATCAAATCTCCTCCAATATTCATGCCGAGTGTCCGGCGGCTCACCTTGAGGTCTCTGTGCACAATATCATGCTGGTGGATGTGGCTGATGCTCTCCAGGATCTGATTGATGCAGTGGCTGAAAAAGACAAAACACAGACAGTTCTGTCAATTTGCAATACAAAAAAATTACATTTTAAAGAAATAAACCAAGAAAAAAAGTCTTTGGTGTCAACTTAAAAACTATTTTTAGGTTGTTTTTTCTTAAGCTATGAAGGCAAACAACAGCTACATATATAAACCCTGAATAAAAGAAATAAATCTGATTTTTAGAAGACGTAAGAAAATGGAAGCCTTTTAAAATAAAATACAGATGAGCTCAATATGACAGCCGGGAACAGGGGCATTGAAATGGTAACAAACATCCCAGCTCAGCAAATTGAGATTGTCAATTCAGCTCCAGCTTATTTTTTTAATGGCCTTTGGTGAGTGAAGTGATGTAAACCATATTGAGCAGATTTTGCTCTCATGCACATAACTGGACTCTAATGGGTAGCAGAAAGAAATTATTGAGTGCTGAAAGACCAAGTGCAAGCAAAGGAAATTAGTTTGGCTATAGTTAAATGTATGAAAGGAAACAAAGAAAAAAAAAAACATGTTGAGTTCATTTAACTTTCTGATTATTGATTGGGGGATCTAGCATGACAGAAACATTTTCTTAAGCTGTTGGATATAAAAACTGCTCATGCTTCTTTCTTTATGGCACAAACGCAGACATTGCACAAAGAATATGGTAGATTAAGCTGTACAGTAATGGTTAGGTGGATGTCTTTTGATTGTTCGAAGATGGTAAAAGGAAAGACCCAGATCATTTCCTGCAGAACTGATAAAAACAGAACAAATAGAAATTCACTTTGAGCCAATATCAGAATACATTTCATATGAGAGAACTGATTCAATAACCTTTGCGTTTTGAGCCAACATGATTATCCAGGTGTATGAAATGTGTATAATCTTTATCCAGTTCCTGTCTCACACATTACAGCCGGCACTCCCCTAGACATATCCAAGTAATATCTCACACAGAGAAGCAAGGGATCTTTAGATATGGAGATTATATTCAATAAAACACGAAAACCATCCTCTAAAAGTCTGTAATAAATTGTAAAAGCATTTATTGTTCCGTTAATTTGGGTGCACTAGATGGCATTGTGTTAAAAACACCCAATCCGAATAAAAAAAGTTAAAAACATCCAAATGAAAGGGAATCAAACAATTCATAAAAAGTTGACAAATTTGATTGTTTTATGTTTAGGTTATCTTCTTTTTATCACAGAGTTAATTTATTTAAAAGAAGACCTACATATTCCAAAAATATAAGTAGGCCTCATGTGTGTTCACAGTGTGATAAAATATACAATAAAGACTAAAAATGCTGCTACAATGGGTGAATTTCTTGATGTACTGCTTCAGGTACCATCTCCTCACTAGTGGCAAACCTGTAGCAACTATGGACTGTAAGGAGAAAACCATGTTTCAGAACAAGGGATGAGCAGAGAGAACGAAGCTACAGGAAGATCAGCTTTTTTCTATCCAATTTGGAAATGCAAATGTAAGAAGGAACATATGCAACTAAAGGGTTGAAGGTGGCCAACATGTTAAATCACCATGTCCCTCCAAAAAAGTTAAAAAACAATCCATTAGACTTTTATTTCCCAAGTTTGAAGACATTTTGCTTCCCATGCAGGAAGCTTTTTCAATTCAATGGAAACGGATGAATGGGTCCACCCCTATGGAATGGGGGTCGTTTGAGTGGAGTGGTGTATGCAGTTTAATGCAGTAAGGAATGCGCTGATCTTTATTTTGGAGAAACCAAACAACCTCTCCACAGACGCATGGCCCAACACAGAAGAGCTGCCTCCTCGGGACAAGACTCTGTGGTACATCTACACCTTATGGACAAAGAGACAAACATGTATGGTTGTAAGCCTTCTACACCAAACGAAGCTTCCGCTGCCCTGGCGTCCTCTTCCACAACAACTTTGTCCCCGCTTTCCTCCTCTAAAAAAATGTATGATGAAAGAGACTCATCCACAACCTCCAACACAAAACTCCCCTCCTCTTGCATGTTCCTCAACAGTGTCATTGCTAAGTGCTACTTGGTCCCAACGTAATTTCCCATTGTGAACCTACTAACATCAAGTTGCTAACTGGTCAGCAAGATGCTTCCGAGAATCCGGCCACAATCAAACTTCCTTGCGAACCTTCCGCCACAACAATCCCGCCCACTCGATAAACAATCATATTCACTTGATTTACTCGTGTAAAGTCGTGCACCACTTGGGAGAATTCGGAGATGCAATGGTTGCAATGGCTGTTTCTCTACTTTAAAAATGATTTTGGAGCTAATAGTCGCATGTGACAAACACAGTGACTCAAGTTCATGCCAGCTGACCAAATCTATGTTGTTATAATTTTTTTGTGAAGTTTAATTAATAGCGCATATATTCACCTGATAAATGATGGTGTCTGTGTTAGGGACCCTGGTTGCATGCACTGAAGTGTATAAGAAAATACTGGATCGAATCTCAATCTATTTTAATATATTTATTTTAATAATTTTATTTAAATAAGCCTATAGGCTCATAGTTCTTTAGTCCAAAAGAACCAAAAAAACATTCACAGCAGCCCGTTCAAAATTACTTCCAGCAGCCCTGCCAACCAGTGTAGATACTAATAGTCTACAATTTTTTAAGCAACCCCTTGTTCAGTTTTTTGCTATTTAATAAGCCAAAAAAAAACAACTTAAAAGGACAAGAAAGGATTAATTCTGTGAATCTCATATCTTTAAGATCGCTATTGAGACGATTTAAAAGTGCTTGAATCTTCTATAACTTTTTTAATCTTATCAGCCAAACTAAACTGTGACCAAACAGATCTTAAAAAGTTCTAATTTACTTCTCTACTAAAAAGACAAATTTGACAATTGCATTTTCTTCTGATTATCTGTGCAGATTTTCATGCTGCGGTTGTCATTTTTTAATATGAATTACAACAAATTTCCAAAAGCTAGATAAGAATTTATATCTGCAGGTAAAGGGGTTCAATACTAAAAAGCTTACTGCAGCATCCAACAACGGACTCAAAATAGGATTTAAACACAGCAGCAGTTTAGTCATGATTTATTCAAGAAATTAAATTTAAAAGGCCTGAGTCACTTGGTCAGAAATAAAGCCGCACCAGCAGATTACTAGTATGGCCCAAAGCACAAACATCATCAACCAATTCAAACGTCAGAACATGTTGTTCTTCCCCATTTCTGCTCTGGCAAAAATAGTTGCCCCTTAAACTTGCAGGGAGTCCAACATTTCCAACTTTGTATTCAGATTTAGAGCAATAATTTACTAAAAAGAATAATACCAACAAGCTAAACATGAGTCTTAAAAAAAAAAACTGCTGACATTTTTGTATGTGTGATTAATTTCTGCATTCAACATGTTGGTCAGCATGATGCTCACAGCCTCAGGGCTAAAAATGTATGCTATTGGTTAGCGGATACCTGGCTGTGCAGTATTGGCCAATAACGATACCATACCGATACCATCTGTTGTGTATACACGAAGAACTGCATTCTACTTGGATCTAAAACAATTGCCATCATGGCTTTGTTAAGCTGCTACCTACCTTTGTGAAGCTGGAAAAAGACTAATAGAAAGTGAATCTAGTAGAACTTTTTATTGCCAACTGGAATGGCTGACAATAGCTGAATAAACTTTTGTCCCTGAAAACGGTATCAGTGCCCTATTTGTTGGCATTCGCCAATACCGATACCACCATTTTAGTGCCGTATCGGGGGGCCTGCCCGATACTGGTATCGGTATCAGTGCAACACTACTATTGCTATCAGATAAACTTTTCCGAACAATAAAAAAATGAAGCTGTAATACAGAGTCGCTGATGTGATTTGAATGCGTGGAAATATTTTATGAAGTACCTGGCATCCGCCTCGCTGTAGTACTCTCTCGCAACAATGTCCTCAAACAGCTCGCCACCGGTTACACTGCAAAGAAATATACAAAAATTTAGCAAAAATAAGTATTATATCAAGAGATTTCTCTTTATCTTTATTTTTTTTAAAGAAAGACATTTGAGAGGGTTTATGTAACACGGCGAGATCATATCTGAAAATCAAGTGATGTTCGACTTGTGTTTTAAAACCACTTACCCTGTTCCTGGCAGCCTGTGCTGGGTTCTGAAATACGGTAGATTATAATCTAATAGCTAACTAATTCCTCCCAGTTTGTCTGATAGAGCTGCGTGGGTGGCCTACATGTACTGTACCTGCATCTGTACTATCCCTATTTAGGGATGGTTCCTGTATTCTACTCTAATAATAAAGGCACAGATTGCTATAAAACTGAGCAACATTTTTGCACATACAGATGGGGGAAATGCATGTAGTGTTTCTGTAGAGAAACACACAAATTGGTAATAAAGAAAAGGTATTTTTCTTCATAAGACCCCTCACATCCCTTTCAGCAAAGGTCAGATGTTTTTCTTTGCTCTCAAACTTCAAAGAAGTAATCCAGTGAGGTGTGTTCACTATATCCATTAAACAAGTAATTCCATACTGGAAGCATTTTCAAAACTTGATATACTTCCTTTTTTTTATGAAGGCCCTTTTGTATTTTTTAACCTGAACATTTCTCATTTTTACAAAATATGCTTTTACACAAAGAGAAAATTTTGCTTGACATTACAGCAGTTAAAACATTTTTCTACAACCTCACCAACTTGTTCTTGTTTTCTTTGGTGTTTTGATTACTTGTCTTTAGTTATGAGTATCAAAGCTTATGGTCAGAAGACCACCTTACCATAACCCTGATCTTATAGGCCTACTCCCTACCCATCAGTTTTTTTAGTCAGAAGTCTGGCTAAGCTGCTTACAAATGTTGAATCACTTAAGTCAGAAGAAACATTTTGATAAAATCAAAATATTCAGATCTAAATTTTGAAGAATTATATTATTAGTATAGAATTAGAAGTTTATCATTTGGTTAAAGCAGAATAAATAAAAAATGTATGATTTAAAACAGAATATCCTGAATCAAACAGTTGGTTTGACCCCAGGAGAAAGCATACTGTGGGAGTTAGTGTGGGCGCTAAAATTTGATTAACTTACAGGTCAAAGACAAGGTAATGGAAGCCTTCCTCGGAGATGCTCTCATGGAGTCGTACTGAGAAACAGAGAGAGAGTCTTTAATTAACAGGCAGTTAGCTGGATCAGAAAGCACTGCTTCTGTTATTAGCTTCAGATTGCAAACCTGAATGAACAGTCAGTAAAAGTGAAAGTTGGTCTGCCTGTTGAGACACATGTTAAAATACCTTCCTGCAGTCACAGACCGCTGTCAGGCTACCAGCTAGTGCTGAAAGTCTACACAGGAATAAAAAAAAAAAAAAAAAACTATAAATTTGTTAATTCATTTCAATTCTTTTGATGTAAATGACCCCAAACTGCTGTTTGCAAAGATGTTCTAAATACCGTTATGTTTACTTTTATTGCATGTATTAAATTCAATGATCAACGTGTTGCTATGGGCAAACGACTTGAAGGCACAAACTAAACTGTTCATAATTTATTCTTTATGGTACGCCAGCATTCATAATATGTAGGCGAATCACTGTCCCCCAGACACTGCGGTTATATTTTTTATATCTATATTTTTTTTTAAACAAAGCGGAGCATGTATGACGTCATCCGTGCGGTGGACTGCAGTTGTGACAGGCAGCCCGGGACACAGGCTGCTTTGCTCTACACTTTATATTCATTCAGCTAGCTAATCTGAAAAGTTCAATTCCATTTCGAGAGCCAGATCATCTGTGGTAGAAGCACTACACATCTTCCAGGCATGTGGGTAAAACTAGCAGCAGTTCAGCGCACAGGATGAATGAATCATTGCCGGCGTTCATTCATGATGTCATACAACCGCCACTTTGTTTTAAAAAAAATCTAAATATAAAAACTATAACCGTGGATTTCTGGGGGACAGTGATTCGCCTACATAATGTGCGAACGCACATTATCATTAAATTAGATGCCCTCAATGACAGATCTTCTCTGAGTCCTTTTATCTCCTACCTTAAGAGGCTACCACAGCAAGACATTACAACTCGCATGCAGACTTCACCTGTTTTTCCCCCCAGACATTCCAGCTGTAACCACTTTTTAACCCTAGGTCCCCCGTTTTGAGACGCAGATCTTACTTGTTACACAAAAAAAAGGATAAATACACCATCTTCTGTAAATAATATTATTAAAGTCCTTATCAAAACATGGAAAAGTTGACGTTTTTTAAAACGGCAAACCTTTCACAGCCAAGCCGACCACAGAAAATTAACAGAACTCTAACACCCACTTTCTCACTACAGCTTGCTTAAGTAAGCAATACTGACATGTTCTTGAAAGACGAGCAGCTGACTGACAATCAGCTTAAGAAAAGTCCAGACTTGTTTAAGAGTGTCAAGAGTCCATGAAAAAAAAACAAAAAAACAAAACAAAAACCTCGATTTAGTCTGAAACTCAGTCTTGTTCCTGCTTTCAGTGTTGAAGTACCAATAGGGAAGCTAGAGGAGTGAGAGGGGGCCAATAATAACTTGCTAACAAAACTGAATCTATATTTCAGTCCACATAAATAGCATTTTTAGTTTTCGTTGTCACATTCTGCAGGTTTCACAATAAAATTCAAACATAGATTTTAGGCTTTTCTTATCAATTGCAAATTTAATCGTTTTATTTCCAAACCTCCTTATTCACATCCCCACATTTCTGAGGGGGGAACCTTGTAAAAACAAATTCCCAAAGACTAGGATGAGAAATAAAAAACACAGCAGAGGAGGAAGACAATGAAAAAGGAGAAGTCCTTCTGCAACAAGAGAAACCAATGAAACCCTGCCTATTATTTTGTTCGCATACACAAGTCTGCTTTGCAGGGCACTATGTTGTATGATCAGAAGTGCTGGTCTGCGTCAAAGGAACTGTCATTTCCTTCCCTTTCCAAATGACCCTTGCCTTTTGTTTGAATTTCACACGTCAACAGAGGGAAAAGATCTGGTGAGCTAAGTTCCTTGTTAGAGGACTTACTCACAATGTTTAGATATAGAATGATTCCTGCTGTTTTTTGGTTCTGCATGTAAAACCTTCTGGATACTCAAACATGTGCAAAAGGATATAAAAGGTGTGTTAGGAATAAGATTGAGGTTTAGAAATAAACCGTATAATGTCAACATCAAGTAGAAACTCTGCAACTGATTGGAGGTGTTTGAATTGAACGTGGCTGCTGGCCAGCTGTCGCATGCAAATACCCCACACAGAAATAGAGCAGGTAATAGACTGGTTTGACTATCAGTCAGTTAGCTCCAGAGTCGAACAGAACAATGCTTTTGCTTTAGCTTGGTTCTCTAGTTCTCTCTTTGATATATGAAACTATACTGGAGTGAGAGAGGAGACACTCAGATCTTCAAATGTTTGGAAATACTAACTAAATGTAAACATCAAGTGCAGTTTTGATTGCTTTAATCTAGATTGGATTCTGGTCTGTTCTCTGAAGCATTGAGACCCTTTATTGGGGTTTTTCCCTGCAAGAAATCTAAAAGAAATTTGAATTTTTTAACAAATAAAACCTTTCACATTTCACCTCATCTCCCACTTACCTTGTTACAATCATAATCACTTTTCTTTTAGGATTTTAGGTCATCAACACAGTTGCAGCGAAATGTTGTGAATCATAAATGGTTTTAGCACCCCGTATTTTAATGCTTCTAGATAAAACCGACATAAAACAGACTTACAAAGGCAATGCCATATAAGGGGATAAATAATAAAGAGAGCAGGCAAAATGTCCATGGAAACTTTGGAAGATATGCAGAGATTAGATCCAAAGCTTGGTTAGGAGTTTTTTCCAAGGAAAATCACTAGTTGTAAACAAAATATGGCTCCATGTTAATAAAGATTGTCAGAGAGCTCCCATCAGAACCTAAAGATTCTTGCCAAGGAACTGAAGAGAGATTCTGATTACTATACTATACTTTAACTCTACTTAAACTCTACCCTCTCGGCATTGCCTGACAGTTAATAACCAATTTATATCCCTGGGATATTCAATTTATTCCATTAAGCTCTTATAGGTGACTTACCTATGTTTGGATGTTTGAGCATTCGACAAATCCTCGCCTCACGCTCCAGTTTCTGGTGATCTGTGTCCAAAAGAAGATTAGAAAAAAAGAAGAAAGAATGAGCACCAATCGACCAGGATCAGCATATTTTAAGATAAACAGTTTTCCTCAATCCATGGATAATCATAAAGACGACAAAAAAAACAACCTAACAAAAGCTGTAACTTCTCTGAATGATTTAATCCTAATCATCACAATGCAATGAGTAACACGGTCAAATGTGCTTGTAAACATGGGGTGAAAGCAGCTTTTGTTCCCATCATATTTTTAACATGCTTTCAACCTTAATTCTGATTAATAAACCAGTAGTTTGAGTTCATGTGTGTAAGTTTGTATCACATTTAGGAACAAATTTGTGGACCTAACCTCATTAAAAATATCTTTGGGAAAATGCTTGATAAACACCCATCTCCAAAGTTTCAGTTATTCCCGTCAGTCTCTTATTTCATCTGAATTTAAAAAAGTAATTTGATCAGCAACAATAATCAAATTCCATAATAAAGGGATGAAACAGCCGTAAAGTAGAAACCCGGATACTGCCTCTGCAAACGCAGACAGCACATGTAATGTGTAGGGGCACTCAAACATACACAATATAAGCACAGGCTTTATGCACTTAGTGAAATTAGTCCAGTAGGCCCTACTCCAATCTAATCAGTGTCCACTTAATGACTCTAATGACACGAGAAAGTCCATGAGCGCAGACAGATTGGTTTTAAAACAGACCCAGTAGATGGGTGACATGGTCGACTGTCAGAGGTCAAGTTCGTCGTGCCTGTGCTGTCAGTAAGCAGCTGCTGTTCCCAAACACAGATGGCACATGGACTCACGCACTCTTTTGTTTTGGTTTGCCAGCCTTAATCCCCCAACCCATCCTACACAGGTCCTTCGGCCATGCTGTCAAAAATCTGAATGCATTTTTGCTTTAAACAAATATATCAATCATTTATTGTGCATTGTAAGCTTTATTTATTCTAGGTTTTAAATGTATTCACACAGAGTGGATAGATCTGCTCCCTACTTACCATTCCACTACAAAAATGAAAAGAAATACAACAGCAAGAGTTATTCTATGTACCAAAATCTTTTACAAAAGAATCAATAAAAAAAAGAGAGTAAGACCCTCTCCTTTCATAGGGTTTAGAAGATGCACAATTATGCAAAGTCCAATAAGTAAATAAAAAAAAGAACTAATTATAGATTTCTAATAGTGCCAAACCCTATACCTAGTACAGTATAGGAAGTATTTTATTTTGAAAGAGTCAACTCAGCCTCTTTTACTCTTCTTTCCACCAGAGACTCTTTAGTAGTTATTGGAGCTGAACAAATATTCAAACCAGATAGTTTTATAGTATATTGTCGCAGGTGATGTTCTCTTGTTGGCAGAGCGCATACGTCCACCTAAACCTCACACCTGCCCTGCTACACCGATGAAAAATGTTTAGAACATAACAAGCTTCAACTACTTATCTGTAGGGAATCTTGACATCCATTGAAAAAAAGCTATATTTTTAGGTTGAAACACAATTTCATTCAAGGTTAGTTTCCATAGTTTAAAACACTTTAAACTAGTGTTGCGCCGATGCTATTTTTTGGCCCCGATACCGATACCCGATACCTGGCTGTGCAGTATCGGCCGATCCCGATACCATCATAATGTAAAATAATTGCCATCATGGCTTTGTCAAGCTGCTGCCTACCTTTGTGAAGCAGGAAAAACTGTAATACAAAGTGAATCCAGTAGAACTTTTTATTCTAGGAGTGGGTGACAATAGTTGAATAAACTTATGGCTCTCAAAATGGTATCGGTGCCCTATTTGTTGGTACTCGCCGATACCGATACCACCATTTTAGGGCAGTATCGGCGCCCCGACCGATACTGGTATCGGTATCGGTGCAACACTACTTTAAACCATTACTTGCAGCAGGAGAATCATGCATTCTAAAACAGAGCAGAAAATGTCAGTAACAGACTTTAAGTTACTTCATATTCACAAACTTCGAAATATGACAACTGCCTCAACAATATACCATGTTTACAAACCGAACGTCTTTATGTCTGGAGCATTTTTAAATAAAAAGTATTTGTTTAAGTTGATAAAGCAACCACAGGCGTGCAGCCAAAAATCCAGCCTAAAGAAGACGGGTGCACAAAATGCTTAACTTATAGAACTTGTATGCCATATCTCACCATACTGCTCAGTAGTAAAATCCTTCTCACCAAGAACAAGCATTCATAACAAACAGTTTTAATTTGTAACACAGAGATCACCAAACTTGCCAAGCGACACACTGTTCAGAGCAGCCACTACCTGGCTGCTTTCTCTGCCTCACTGGGGTATCTGTTGGAAGATAAAATGGTACAAGGTGCCTAACTAGGCTTTGTTTCTTTTGTTTTTGTAAAGCTAGAAGCCAAACTCATCAGATGAAGCCAGGTTCAAATGGGGAATCAACAATGAACACTAAAACAGGCTACAGCTTACAGTATGGGCAAACTCAAAGTATGTAGGGACCCTAACGATAGTGTTATATCTTTATTCTTTCAAAACACGTATTACCAATAAAAATGTTGTTTTATAAATTTAAGCTTAAAAAAGGATCTAAAAATTTTTGTCCGCCTGAATATTGCCATCTTGTATTAATGTGTTTTTCTTATTTTCTTTGACTGCATCATTTTAAAAATTAAATCAGATGTTATGAGCAAACAGTTACTCAGTACTTGAGTAAATATTCTGACAGCTCACCTAATGCTAGTGTGTTTGTTAGCTGGTCAATAACTGTAGCTACTTTTATAAGTGAAAAACACCTGATTAGACTGAAATGTGCTTTAATGAAAATAAAGATAAGTGTTTCAAATGCATATATACATTATCCAATAACCAATCATGATGTGATTGTTTTCTTGCACAAACCTTACTTAACGTATAAAGCACTTTCAGAGAATTGTCAAATTTATCTAAAAGAGGTGCAGGAGGTTTGTACTTGGCCAGACACAAAGGTGTGCTTTTCCTAATTTTTCCGAGTTCCCAGAATGAAGCCCCAATAATATGCGGTTCACAATCAAAGTAGGGTTTATATGCATTTGAGAATAGGGGTGCAACTAACGATTGTTTTTGAACATCGATTAATCTTTTGATTGTTTTTTTTTTAAAAATTGATTAATAATCAGATAGCAAAGAAGACTTTTTGCAAAATTAAACAAGGAGGAACTAAAAAAGTTCCACTTGAGGAGTTCTGGATAGAGCAGATTGATAGACAAAAGATTTCAAAATGTAAACATTTTCTTTTGGTATTATTGCTGTCCAAGGTGGGTTGCTCTGTCAGTCTTATGCTACGTTCAGACCGGGGGCAGCAAAAGCAGCAAAATCGCATCTGCTGCTTCATTTTTGCTGCTTGTACCAGTGAATTCTGATGCGCGTCTGAAGCAGCTTTGCTGCTCTCGCTGCGCGGTCCAAAAGTGTGTCTGACGCGCGTTGGGCGGAGCTTCACTATCCTTTCTCTGCCTTGCAGCTATAT